AGAGATTCTTATTGGTTGTGTGATACGGGAAGAAGGTGTCGTGTGACTCGTAATGAATTGGTTATGATGATTAAGTGATGTGGTAGTGTATAGGAAATAAATTTCTAAGTGGTGAGGATAATGTGGTGATGTTAATACCGTGATGTTAATGTTGTGATGATATATATTTATGATGTAGTTATTATGCGTTTAAAATGTTATTATTTGTTGTGTGTTATGATATTTCTGGTTGCTCACCCTTGCATGTTGTGGTTGTGGTTTCCACCTACGATGATCATACTTGTACGGGAGTAGATGTCCTTGTAGATAAGACTAGATCGAAGTAGTTGAGGAGAGTTGAGAGTTAAATTTCGGGAATTTATTATTGTGTTCTATTGTTGAAAATTTTTCAGACTTGGTATCTTTATTGTAAAAGGAATTTATTTCAGATTTAGTTTTGAACAGGCAACGTTTATAATCATGTTTTGCTTCCTCATTTTAATCAAATAAAGTTTGATTGTCTAAAGGATTGTTTTATGAAAATATTTTACGGAAAAAAAATTACATGGTGACATCTCAAAAATTGGGGGTGTTACAGGTATGTTGCAATTGCTCATCCCTTGACCAATCTTCTTAAAAAGGATAATTTTTAATGGACAACACAAGTAACTCAAGCCTTCGAGACTCTGAAACAAGCTATTATCACTACTCCCATCCTAGCATTTCCAGATTTCACAAAAAAATTTGTACTAGAGACTGATGCTTCAGGCTTGGGAATTGGCGCCATTCTTAAGCAAGACAAGCATCCTATAGCCTTCTTTTCTAAGAAATTGTCTTTCCAGATGTAGCATAAATCTTCTTATACAAGGGAATTCTATGCCATTACAGAAGAAATTGCAAAATTTAGACATTACTTATTGGGCCACAAGTTCATCATAAGAACTTATCAGAAAAGCCTCAAGACCTTAATGGACCAATCTCTTCAAACTCCGGAGCAGCAAGCCTGGTTACACAAACTTTTAGGATTTGATTTCACAATTGAATACAAGCCTGGGAAAGATAACCAAGCTGCTGATGCCCTATCTAGATCCTTCTTTATGGCATGGTCATATGGAGAGAATGAATTGATGACAAAAATTCAGAAATAGACCCTATTCTCCAATCTGTCATTCAAGCTTTGTGTAGGAGGAAAACCACCCAACATTAATTATTCCTACTCTGATGGATACTTACATTGGAAGCACAGAGCTGTAAAACCTAGAGATACTGAGATTATACAAATGTTGCTCAAGGAATACCACAGTTCGATATTAGGGGGTCATGCGGGAATAACCATAACTATGGCTCGATTGTCCTCTCAATTCTATTGGCCTGGTATGCTCAAAGATGTCACTCAATACGTATAGGAATGCCTTATATGCCAACAAGCGAAATCTGCCACCACTCTACCAGCAGGGTTACTCTAACCCTTCCAATTCCTGACCAGGTTTGGGAAGATATCGCCATGGACTTCATTACAGGTTTTCCACCCTTTAATGGGTATACGGTGATTATGGTGGTCATTGACAAATTATCAAAGTATGCTCACATTTCTCCCTTGAAGGCAGACTTCAATAACAGGAAAGTGGCAAAATTGTTCATTAATGTTGTTGTCAAACTACACGGGTTTCCTAGAACCATTGTCTCTGATAAAGATAAGGTATTCATAAGTCAATTTTGGGAACACCTTTTCAAGTTGAGTGGGACAACCTTGAACATGACTACGACTTACCACCCTCAATCAGATGGACAATCGGAAGCACTAAATAACTGTTTTGAAATGTATCTCAGGTGCTTTACCTTTGACAATCCCAAGACCTGAACTGGGCTTTTACTGTGGCCAGAGTTCTGGTATAATACGGTTTTTCATACCAGCTTACAAACAACAACATTTAAGGTGGTATATGGAAGCGACCCCCCTACCATAATGAAGTACATAGTGGATCGTAAAGATCCTCCAACGGTTCAGGAATTATTAGGGGAAAGAGATAGGGCCTTGGCTCAACTAAAATGACAACTTCTGAAAGCTCAAGAAAGAATGAAAAAATATGTTGATCACAGAAGAATGCATAAAGAATTTAAGGTTGGTGATATGTTTTTTGGTGAAACTTCAAGCGTATAGACAAAATTCCATTGCCTTGAGAAAAAACCAGAAGTTGAGGATGAGCTATTTTGGCCCATTTCCAATTATCGCTCGGATATGAACGGTGGTCTACAAACTCTTAGTGCCTCACACTACTAAAATCCACCCCATCTTCCACATCTCTCAATTAAAGGAATGCAAAGGTTCACATGCCACTTCCTACGTTCCCCTACCATTGACTACATTATCAGAAGGTCTTGTATTGATTCCTCAATCTATCATTCAGAAACGTGACATCCTCCACAGATCTAAATTAGTTTCACAAGTCTTAGTTCAATGGGTTGGGTTACCTGAAATAGAAGCAACTTGGGAAGACATTCTAGATTTTGTCAAAGCTTACCCTGACCTTAACCTTGAGAACAATGTTATTGTTGATGGGGAGGGTGTTGTAACGTGTGAGAAGAATGTTGATATTGAAGGGGTAGAATGGGTAGAAGAAATAAGGTGAAAGGAGGAGTTAGTTGGAGACCTAGGACACCTAGCACCTGCTGTAGAAAATAATGACAGACAACAACACGTGAGGGAGAGAAAAGTGAGCACACGGTTGAAGGATTTTCAATGGGGAAATAAGGGATACAAAAGGGGAATGTAGTGGGCCTCTAGAGAGGCATGCAATGATTGAATAATCTCTCTCTTTCTCTGGATGTATCTTTCTTTCTATTGTTGAATGTTGGCAGAGGTAGCACGTTGTACCTTGTGACTCCTTTCAATTAAAAGGCAAGAACCGACCCTTAGTCAGTGGGGTTCTGCTCATTCAGTTTCGGTGCTCGTTTTTCTATGCTTATTACTGCATTGATTTCTTATCTTACAGTGTTGCACAAGTCCTTGGGAGAGAACGATATTTATCACTTGCTACGCTGTGACCGGTGTCTTTGCCGTTGGTTTTGCATTGGTATGATCTTGAGAGAGTAATGTTGATAAACAAGTATGAGGTGCTATGATTTTCTTAACTTTCCAATAATATCATACTTTGCTATAGCTTGCCGTGAATGCAATTGATACCCATTATTATAATGGAGGCATCCGACTACGTATATATAGAGCTGAACAAAATAACTTAACTATACTAAACTGTAATTAACTATACTATTTTATAGTAAAAAAATTAATCTATTTTAACTAAAACCTAATCATTCTATTGTTTAGTTCAGTTTAGAAAAATTAAACCTATTATATTTTCAGTATTGTTAACTGAAAACTACACTGTTGTTAGAATTGTTGTCAGAATACAATTCTAATCCCAAGCTTGATAGAAGAAAATAGTAACGTATAGAAGGAAGGAATGTTGAAATAAAACAAGAAAGATGGAGTGATGATTTTAAACGTTATAGAGCTAAGGTAGCAATAACGGAGGTGTAGAAAGGAAAAGCCCTAAAATTTTAAAATGTATTTTATTCTTTATATTAAACTCTGAATTATAGAATATTTCCAAAAAAGCTTTTCAAAATTTGAAAAATAAGATTTCTAGAACAAAATTTTCAGAACAAAATATCGAAAACGTATGAAATTCTTTTTTTTTAAAAAAAATCTTGAAATAAAAATTTTAAAAAAACTTTATATATATAATATCTTCTAAAAACAAAATGTAATTTTTTTTCAAATCACTATAATTTTTCAAAAAGATTTGTCCAAATTTATTCCATCTAAAATTAAGATGACGAATGTAATATTGTTTTTCAGTTATGTGGTTTAGATCAAAACTAGTATGAACCCCAAGTATTAGTTCAATTTGAACATGGTCACTTGGCTGCAACAATTGGTTGATCAACATCTTGTTTGTCACCTAACTCAATCTTACAAAACCAGCTTTAATTTGGTCTTATCTCTAGTTGATGTGAGACTTACAACACTTAGAACTCGTTAGGATAAGCTCTAACCAAGACTTTGATACCATATTAGAAAGTGGGTTTAAGTCTAACTCAACCCCACAAAACCGGCTGGTAAGGTGAGGTTTGCACTTCACTTATATATTATATTTTGGCCTTATTTCTGTGGATGTGTGACTTTTAAGAGTTTCAGTGAAAATGGTTGATAGAATTTGGTAGAGAAGAATGCAATTGATATGTGCTATCCTTTTCCATCTTTTGCTGGAATAAAAAATCATAAATGACTTGAAACTTATACTCCAGTTTTTATAAAATATTATCATTCTTTTGAAGTTATATAATGTAAAATCTTAAACTTTTCAACATGACTTCGAATCACAATCTATTAAATTCTTATCAAGATTTACATGATATTTTCCATGATTTTGAAGTATTCATGTATCTCATGCTGGCAGACGTTAATATATATAAAACAATATTTTGAAACACAGAAGGCAAGAAGAATCGGGTACAAAGGATATAATGAATGTTAATTATTTCAACGTTATCTACTCATTTAAAGGTAAACTAACTGATGATGTTATTGTCCCAACCAGCTATAGAATAAGCTAGGAAAGAAATGTTAGGAATTAACCACTCGTCTTACGTTTTGAAATTTAGATATTGATTAGAAAACATCTAAATCGAATATGAATCACCTGATCTAATGATTTTAAATGTTAGGAATAAATTTAGGGCTATTAGTTGGTTAAAAATCATATTCTTAATACAAGTAGACAATTTGATGATCAATGAATTGATTATTAAATTAAAAAAACATTATATTTTAATATAACTAAATCATTTTAAATTCTGAAACACAAGTTTCTCATACAATTTATTAAGTAGTTCAGCTCATATGAGAAATGTTAATACAAGTAAGCAACATGCAAAATTCAAATTCTTTTGGCATTTTAAGATGAAGAAAATACAAGATACGAGTAAGAAAAACATAAGTGTAAACAACACAACAATTACCAAAAGGTTTGTAGTTTATACCACAAGTCATCAAGGAAGCAAAAGTAGGCATATCTCCATGATCTATAAATGAACAAAGGAGCAACGACTATCCAGAATCCCACAATAAATCCAAGTGCCATGCTTACAAAGAACCAATTCACTTCGTGGCCATCATTCTCCATTCCAGAATGGTTAATAAATGGAATTTCCTTGTTGGAACTACAATTGATGAGTAGGGGTGGACCGCACAAATTATTTCCGACAAAGTTGGATGCTTCAAAGCTTTGAATTTGAGTCCCAGTTGGAATTTTTCCCTCTAAATGGTTATGAGACAAGTCTAGGTAGCTGAGAAAGTTCAAATTTGATATGGTTGGAGGGATTTCTCCTGAAAGTTGATTTTTTGAGATATCAATGGATTCTAACATTCTCATATTTCCAATACTTAGTGGAATTTGGCCAGACAATTGATTTTTGGATAAATTCAAATATATCAAACCATCTAACTCAGTGATTTCTTTAGGTATCCCTCCTGATAAATTATTATCAGAAAGATCAATATTTGTCACCAAACCAAGAATACTAGAGTACTCTGTAGCTCTTCCTTTTATCCATAAAATAATACCGATTTCATAGTATCCCGTATAAAAGGTAGATGCATTAGAATAGATACTTAAAGCTGGGCTTTTGTTCTTTTGCAATATGGCTTTGAAGTGATTGAAACAATTTGGAATATGTCCAGACAAACTATTGTGTGCAAGATCTAAATTCTGGAGAAATATCATATCACACATTTCATTTGGAATATCACCTGAAAAATTGTTTGATCGAAGGCGAAGAATTTTTAATCTTAACAAACTTTCTCCAATCCATGATGGAATGGTTCCTGAAAGATTATTTTCGCCAAGGTCCAAGGATATCATATAGAAATTCTTCTTCAGACTGGTAGGAAATATTCCTGAGAGTGAGTTATTACGAATGCTCAAAGATTGCAACAAAACTAAAGAGCCCATGGATGAGGGTAGGTTTCCAACAAAATGGTTGCTTTGTAAATATACATCCACCAAATCTGGCCACTTTGTCCAACAGTCTGGTATTTTTCCTGATAAGTTATTGGAAGCTAGATTGAGAAAATATAAGCTAAACTTCTTACATTGTTTGCAACATAAGAAATCATTCATGCACTTGGAGAATGAATTATTTGAAAGATCTAACCATAAAACATGATTAGAAAGAAAAGGTAATTCACCATACAAGTGATTTGAGCTTAGATCAATGACTGTGAAAGATATTGGATTTCTCAATGATTTTGCAATCTCACCATGAATATGATTATTAGAAAGATTTAAAAATTGAAGAGAAGAAAAGTTCTCCCAAAACCAAGTGGGAACAGAATCTGAAATTCCTGTGTTAGACATTGCTAAATATTGAAGTGTGTTTTGTGATTGAAGCCATGGTGGAATGTTTGGACGTAACTGCCAAGAGCTAATATCCAAATATCTAAGGTGAAAAGTAGGATGCCAATTGGGTGCCACTTTTAAAGTCAAATTGCTTCCTGATGCATCAAACAACCTTATCCTGGTAAGATTTTCAAGATGATCTTCCTTTACAATTCCTTCAAAACAATTGTCACCAATCTCAAGATATGACAATTTAGAGAGTGATCTAAGAATTTCAAATGGATTTCCACTAAATTGATTTTTGGACATACGAAGAGATATCAGTGATGAAAGTTTTCCAAGTGATTTTGGAAGTTCTCCACCGATTTTGTTGTCATCAAGTCTTAGTGCAACAATATTTTTATAAACCTCGAATTGATTTGTCAGATTGCCTGAAAGTTGAGAACTTTGAATTTGAAGTGTTTCAAGTCTAAGTGAAATACAAGGAGCAATTATATCTAAAATTTCATTAACATATTGGTTAAGTTTGAGATATGAGAAATCGATCTTTCTTAAGTTACAGAGATTACCCAAAGATGTTGGAATTGGACCTTCAAGTTGATTTAGTGACAAAACAAGTGTAACAAGCGAAGTCGCATTAGCCAGAGAAGTAGGAATTGGTCCTTCAAGTTGATTGTCTGATAAATCAAGTCTAACCAATGAAGTCATATTTCCCAAAGAATTTGGGATTGGACCTTTAAGTTGATTTCGAGACAGGTCAAGTGTAACCAGAGAAGTCACTTTTTCTATAGAACTTGGAATTGGACCTTCAAGTTGATTGCCTGATAGATCAAGTGTAATAAGAGAAGTCACATTTCCCAAGGCATCAGAAATTGTCCCCTGTAAGTTGTTACGAGATAAGTCCAAGAACTTGAGATGAGGAAGGCCAATGTAAATCCAATCAGGTATAGAAGATGAGAATGAATTGAAAGATAAGTCAAGATTTTCAAGAAATGTAAGGTTTCGAATATCATCAAAAATTGAGCCTTCAATGTTGTTAGAACTTAAAGTAAGAGAAACAAGTTTCTTCAATTCAAAAGCCCACTTCAATGCAAAAGATATTGAAGAAGAATGGGAAATAGCAGAAAGATCGAGACTGAGGAGAGATGAGAAGTTAAGAAAGGATGGTTGATTATGGTAAGGAAGTGTACATGTTAACAAATGTAGATGCATTAAAGAAGGAAGAACTTGGAGAGTGTGAAGGAAATGAAATGACTGGGATAGGTTTGCACCTTTCAAATCAAGATATTCAAGCTCTGAAAGACTTGATAGCCAATCAACATTTTCTATAAACAAATTATTATTTCCGAGGTCAAGGTAGAGCAAATTAGAGAGATTCCCCATCCGAGAAGGGATTGTTCCGCTGACAGAAGAACTCAAGTCAAGATAAAGCAGATTGGAGAGATTTCCTATCTGGGAAGGAACAGTTCCGCTGGCGGCATCACTCAGATCAAGATAAATCAAATTGCATAGATTTCCAATTTCAGGAGGAATAATTCCCATGAATCCAGAATAAGAAAGGTTGAGGTGAGTCAAGGAAGTTATTGCTGCAATGAAAGAAGGAATTGGCTTACTTTCAAAACGATTGCCGCTGAAATCCAAGTAATTCAAATGCTTCAAATCAACCAAACAAGGATTTATCTCTCCCCCGAATTGAGATCTAGTGTACTCTTCGTAAGCTTCTAGGTTAGTTACTGCATAAGCATTTTCATCCAATGCATCACGGAAAGTAGGAAATGGAGTGCTGAGGTGAAGCTCTGCAACGTGGGCTGTGATGTTATTGCAGACAACTCCAACCCAGTTGCAACAATTAGAATCGACAGTTTCATTCCAAGATGAAAGCCTATTTGAAGAATCATTGAGATGATGCTTCAATTTCAACAATGTCTCTCTCTCATTTGGGATGCACACTGTCTCTCTGCACACACCAAAAGTTGACATAAAAAGTGAAAGCCAACAAAGGTGAGCGAGGATTAAAATAGAGCAGTTCTTCATCACACAAGCTATGTATAAGAAACTAAATGTTTTTTTGGATCAGAAATCTTGGTTCTGCATATTAAACTCTGCCTATTATATATACTCGTGGCAGAGAGTGTCTTTCTTCTTCATTTTAAACATTTTTTACTCTTTTTATCAGTTATAAACTTTAAATTTCCAAGTCATCAGAATTCATAGATTACGAAAAGTCTACACTGTTTTTTTGTTAGAAAAAGTCTTCTAATTAAACTCTGTTTGAATTTTGTTTACTTGAAAAGTCTTCGCATTCAAAGTCTTTGGGTAGGTTTGTTATGTTGTCTCTTTCCAATTGAATCTGAAGTTGAACATTACAGCTGTCTCATGAAAATTATCATAAACATTAAGGAACACATTTAGTCCTTTATTAATTAAACATTAATTGTTTTAGTCAGGATTACTAATATAATACATTTTTGAACTTTTGTCATGTATAATTTTAGTTACTTTTATTATTTTATCAATCATATTACGAAATTTTAATTATTTTATAGGTTTTTGAGTTATATATATATATATATATA